CCAGGCGGTCACACTCCCAGCGGTGGAACTGACCCCCGGACATTGCTCACACTGGATTTACTGGGCTGGGAAAGGTGGCTGGGAGGGATGGAAGTGGTTGTGGCCTCCCTGAGCCACGTTTGCACCGGTGTGGCACGTGAAGTTGTCTGTACGGCTGTGCAGCTCCCCCACCCTGTCCCCATCCCCATCCCTGTCCCCGTCCCCGTCCCCATCCCAGCTGCGGCGAGCCCCGATTGTCCTGTGATTTGCATTCATGGTTACCACAGCAAATATGGCCCTGTGCCCACAGACGCAAACGGCCCCAATGAAATCAGTGGATCCCACATACCGGAATAGCTAATGGAAGAATTTAGTCTTTTATTAGCTGCTAATTAACTCAGTCCATAGTTTAACAACCTTTGTGTAGACTGTATTCTGGGATGATTTGTTTTCCCAGTTTGTATTTTCAGTAGCGATGTATTTTTTATTGTAGTTGCAGGATATATGAAAAGTACCTAATAAATAACACTGCAGGAAAAAGCAGCTTGTGGCCCAGAGCTGGGAGCAACCACCTGGCCGTGAGCAGGAAAGGTGGAACCAGAAATGTTTAGATTATAATGTTACAAAACTACGGCGATCGCTTCTTTAGTACCTTCTTGCAGTAGCCCTGAAGAGTCCCTGTCAGGATGTGATTTTCCTGTTGTGAGCGTCGCCAAGCGACTTCGGTCCCGGTGCTCGGTGCTGTACATTTGGAGGTGCAGCACAATATTTCCAACAGCCCCTGCCGTGCTCCAGGACTCCTCCGTGCTACACAAACTGACCCAAAGTCTCCATCTTTTGCTTTGTAAGGCTGTAGTCTGAAAAACTGGTGCCACAAAGGCCCTCCGTGCTACTCCGCTGGTGCAAAGGGCTTTGAATCTGGGCACAAGGAGACTCTTGCGGCGGCAGGGGAATGCGGGAGGGTCTCCACAGAAGTGTGGATCGGGGTTGCGGGTGCAGGAACGTTCCTCCGTGCACCTGCTGGCATAAAGGACTGTAAGCAGGGGAGGCAGTGGGGAAAGCGGGAGCCCTGGGTTGGTGCACCATCCTTTGCAGGGGGGATGTGAGCCTGGGGCTGAGTTCCCATGCCACGTTTCACTCGCAGCTATCTTTTCTCTAAGGGAGCAGGGAACAGGGAACAATGGACTTGCAGGGAATTGCTAATATCACGGCTTCGAATTTTGTTACATGTAGCACAAAAATATCATTGTTTTTAAAAGAGGGGGGAGGGTGTAAGCGGGAGGGAAAGGACCTTGAAAATGTGGGCAAAATGA